CCCCCCCCCCGCCTTTCGAGATCTGTTTTGCCTTTTGTTGTTGCCTGCTCAATTCCCTGACATTTTGCTTGGAACTCTTTTGTTATGTTTTCTTATGGCAGACTGCCGCTGAGTACGAGCGAAGGCGCGACCGCTTCATGAAGGAGCTTGATTTTGTGTTTGCCGATGTTGTGAGTGGACTCTGGCACACCAAACCTGAATGAATTTCATGTCTTTTATGTCCTATTTAAACTTATATAATATAATGGTCGTCTTCGTTCCTATAGGCTCCTAGGCCCCCCGCCTTTGGACTTAATTTTGCTGTGACGGGCTGGAGTCCAAACCGCAAGTTTCGACAGAGTAAGGTCAGACTGGGTGGAAGTATCCCCCAAAAGAGAACAGGGGAAGAGCAGCTCCTCGAGTAGAAGTAATTACAAATCAACCTCTGGCATCTAACTTAGTTGAAGAGAGGCTGTGCCCTCTGCTTCATCATGACCTTGTCCCGACTTCGACAAGTGATTTATATTTGATAATTACAAGAATGAAGAAGACTGACGATCAATCTTCTTGTTCTATGACGAAGAAATTTGGACTACATTACCTAGTGCATCCTAACCCTAAGATGGACGCTCTTGTTTCGAGCATGTCCTGATGATTTCCTGAAGCTTAGCGCATGGGGGTAATAACTTATAAGATCTATTCAAGGTAAGCAGGGTTTTTCACAGTGGGTGCGAGGCGTTAAGTGCAGTAATGATGCATGTAGCTAAAGCAATCCTTACAGACTGGGAGGGATTTGAACCTTTGCATACCTGAACAAAATTAAGTTTAAACTTTTTTTTGTATATGTATATGTATATATATTTTTTAACGGGGCAGCTGGATTCGAACCTGCAACCTGCTGAGGGATCTTAGCAATTTGCTTGAAGGCTTTCGTAGGGTGCTTTACACTGTTGAGGGCTCGTCCTACTGATGACTTAGTGGAAGTACAATGAAACAGTCTGTTGTACCCTGTTGGGTTGGGGCAGGGAGATTCGAACCTGCAACCTGCCCAAGTACTTGCTGCGCTACGATCCTGGTCAGCTCATGTCACTTAACTAAAAAAGGGATGATGCCATCCAACCGCAACTCAAATGAAAGAAGATTGAAAGAAGAATGAGGCATAGGAAGGAGGATAAAGGATTGAAGAAGTAGAAGAAGAAGAAGAAGAAGAAGAGAAGAAGGAGAAGAAGAAGAAGAAGAAGAAGAAGAAGAAGAAGAACATAAACACAAGCTGGAGCCAAGTCGCTTAACCAGTACAGCCAGGACACGGTGTTAAAAAATGGAACCATAGTGGTCGTGATATCCAACCCCCCCCCCACCCCTGCAAGGGGCTGTAGTGTCCAACTCGACGCACACCACAGACAACACCACACGGATGCACCACACAGACATGACAATTCTCGCACACTTCGCTCCAGTCAGCACGTAACCCCCAACAGGTACCTACAGTCTTCCCCCGAATACAACGTATGGTCATTATAGCTGAATTTAGACTGAAAGATACCTCAAATTCAGCTATAATGAACGTACGTTGTATTTGGGGGAAGACTGTAGCCTGCTGACACGAGCAGGTCTTACTTGGCCGCAGTACCGATGACACAAACTTGGGAAAGCTTGCACATGAAACGAACTGAAAGGCGAAAAAGAAAAACGACAGCAGAGAAAAGAAAGTGAAAGGAGTTAAGTGTGAAGGAAAACAAAACAAAAAAAAGAATAGAGAAAAGAGTTCAAAGGACTCAAAAGAGAGAAAAGAGAGGAAAAAATGTATTTTCAGTGTGCCTTTCCCTTCACCTCGTCTTCCATCCTTTCTTTCTGAATACTTTTTTGCATATTTGTTTCACGATTGTGCTCTTTGGTGAATGCGATCTTAGTTCATCAGAGTGAGACACTATGTTTTTCTGCTGTTTCACAATAATACCGTTTGTGTTACAAGACGGGATGCACTTGAGTGACTTGACAGTTTTTGAGCTCAAACGGTGGAGGAAGTTGCACAGGAGGGGTTTACACTACATGTAGTGAATGCACAGGAGGGGTCTAGACTACATGTAGTGAAACAGACTTCCCACATTCTCCTTTGATGTATAGATCGAGTTAAACATCGTCACTGCACTCCCGTTTTGCCGTTTCTGCTTTGAACTGCATTGTCTTGTGTTTCTTAAACATCTTGCAAATGCTCAGTGCTCTCACCATTTACCCATCGCCTTCTTCTTCGTCTTCTTCTTCTTCTTCTTCTTCTTTTTTATTTTTTTAAATAACTAAGGCTATATTGTTCTCTCAAGTATCCCGTATGCTACCTGCGCACATCTACCTAGCCAAGCAGGGGCTAGTCAGAGCTAACATCTACCAAGCAGGGGCAACCCCAAGGTCTACCGGCCATATGAGCTAACTCCCAGCTAGGACTGGCAAGGGTGAATGCCTCTGGGAGAAGCCAGGACCCTACCAAGAGCAACTAGGGCGGGCAAGGGCAAGCCACCTATCTCGGCTGGTGAACAACAAGCACGCCGCAGGCAGCCGTGGGGAATCGAACCCACAAGCTCCTGAATGCGGCTTGCGTGCGAAACCAACTGAGCTAGGCCAGCGGCCCATTTACCCGTCGCCTTCTGCTGGACTGACCATGGAGAAACTACGTGGAAGCATGATGTAGAGGACAAACCCTTCGCTGTCTGACATGGAAACAGCCATGGGTTATGTCGAACGTCGGTAATTAGGCTGTGTCCTCCTTTTAAAAAAAAAAAGAAAACAGTCTAGGAGTCCCCTTGAGAGTGGAATTGCTGAACATTTGCTGATCGACACTTGTGTGTATAAAAACTGCGAAAGTACGTCTGAGATTTCAAGTGGCAAAATCTTCCGTCACTGTCTGCCTGCTAACACAGTGATACATAACCTCTCGGGTGCACGTCAAAGCCATCTTCTTTTTAAGTTGTTGCGTCTGCACATATTTTTTGTTGTTGCAATTCGTTCTGGACGCGAAGAGCGGTCGTGGTCCGATATGAAAAGGGTTTAGTGAGGTTTGATTGATCGAGGGCTCATATTGGTTCTCTGATGGATTGTGGTCGGCCTGTTTTTGATTTTGTGGACTCCGACAGATCATGGCTATCATTGCGGACTTTATGCTTGTGTGGCTTCCAGCGCCCACTGTTGCAATAAGGGCACCAATTGCAAAAGGTGCCAATTCGTTCGCCAAGTTTTTCTACAACTGCCCAGACAATGCCTTCCAGGTAGGTCACAAAGTCTGGAACCCTCTCTAGCTCTGCTTAGCTGCAATCCTTTGCACTGCTTGAAGTGTATCATAGTACAGAATTAAATCACCATGCGACGCTGCTGCCCAGACGATGCCTTCCAGTAATGGATGTCTTTCAGCATACTCTGATTGGCTTGCGGGTGCAGATGGTGAGAAACAGGTTTGCGTAGAGCTACAAGCAGAGAAGACGGAGAGATGAAAGGGGAAGAAGAGAAATACAAATGGAAAACAAATGAAGGAGAAATAAAAACGGTAAAAATGAAGGGAAGCGAAAAGTGACTTTTTTGCCTCATGACTGGAGGCACTCATGAATGCTTTTGCTTGAAACTGACTTTTGCTTGCAAGAGAGACACAGATAAGGACAAATCAATATAGCTTTGAATTGAAAAATGGCACTCGTTTTCTCCTTGTTTGCCCTGTTCTCCCTCCCAGAAAACCCTAAAGAACACTTTGCCTCTATTTCGGAGACCCAGCCCATCAGTCACCTTTGTTCGTTGTGCCACTTTGTTTTCTGGTGTGCTTTCAGGAATCCAGCTGTCTTATTTGCCTCTGTTCTCCCCTGTTCTGCTTCTCTCTCCTGCCTTCATATGCATAAGCGTTGTGGTCTGACTTCGGATGTGTATTTCTGAGAGAACGCAGAAAATGTGCAAGTGCAAGTGATGTAATTGCGATGGGTGCGTAGGCACTTCCCACTCGACCAGACAGACGTGGAGAATGTCTACAATACTACGAACTCCGAGAAGTTATAACGGTCCCGTCTAGTCCGTTCGCCGTTCCTGCATACAAAGGACCAGATTCCAGACTTGTGACCAAAATGCAGATCGCCCTGTGATCTGGGCCGTTTTTGCGCACAGATGGCCTAGATCAAGAGCTGATTTTAAATTTGCGTGATCGGCCTAGAGGCCGGCGGAGCAGGGTGGTACAGTGATACTGCCTATTGCAAGGGGCCAAACAAAGTTTCTGGGCGGCAACCGGCCAGCAAAGCTGCTTGGCACTTCGTCCATTGCCTCTCAGTGCCTGTCCTCGCTGCCAATCGCTGCCCGTGTCCATCGCTTGTCGCCTCCATCTGTGCGTCACACCCGTCATCTCCACCTATCTGAGCCTCACCACACCCCTAACCTCACATCCACTGTGGCCAATTGCCACCTGCCTTGGAATGTGTTTGCATCTCACCTTCCACTGCGGGTTGTCGGCCCCTGCCCACAGACAGACAGACACACACACACACACACACACAGAGAGAGAGAGAGAGAGAGAGAGAGAGAGAGAGAGAGAGAGAGAGAGAGAGAGAGAGAG